TAATTCATTTTTAGATAAGTTAGATTAAAAGCATATTAGTCTCTGCATGACTTTTTATGTTTCGTGATAAGGAAGATAACAGTGGCCATGAATGCTAGACTATGGATGTTTCAGTAAAGTGGTCTTCCGATAATAGAACTATATATAGAATATAGTTGTTTACATTTTTAGAAGTTCTGATGATAACTCATCAGTTTTTCCATCCCTTGAATTTCTATACAAAGAGATTTTTTGATACTTTAGTTTTTGTGAAGATAGGAATCATTTCATTTTGGAGAACATATGCATTAGTTTGCTTATTCGTATGAGACATTCTATAATATTTGATCAAATTTCGATAATTTATTTTCTTAGGTATTATTGAATATGAAAATTAAGGACGGTGATGGTGATATGGAATCTGTAAGCACAGCATGTACTCCGATGGTATCACCGGTTGTATCTGATAGTGATGATACCGCTGATGTTACTGCTAGGGATTCCGCCGTTGATCGAATAAGCCGTTATGAAGTAATCTTTTGTTGCTATTTAATTTTTGCATTCATTTGAACTTTTCTCTAGAGAGATTTTCCGGGAATTTTAGTTCGAATTATTTCATTTTGGAAATTTTAATGGTTCCTTGTATTCTTTTATTTCAGCGAACGTATGATGCAGTCATGGCAGCTTCCGAACAAAAACGGTTATTTGAAATGGAGAGTACAGTAGAAGTTGAAGCAAGTATTGCAAGCTCCTCTGGTGATACACTTGTGGGTGGCACACATACATATATTTCCGGAACAACACAATCTAGTTTTGATATTATCATTCGTGGAAAATCACGAGTGAAATCACTCAACGGTTAGCTTGAAATGCTGAGAATTTGTGTTTGTTTTTAATAGATTCTTAATAAAAAAAAGAGCATGATCTTTAACCATTTTTAACATCTGATTATTAACTTATCTATAGTTGTTATTATTATTAATCAAGAGCTACATTATTCGATTTGGAATAAAACTAATGCTTTGGAGCAATTGTTTCATCGTAATGTTATCTGTTTAGATGTTGAAGTAGATGTAGACGATCGACAGTTAGTTATTCACATGAAACAATGGTTATCAGCTGTAATTGGAGTTGATATGAATGAATTTGTTGTCCTCAAACATTACAGTACTGATGACGCTGATGGTTATGAAAGCATTATTAACGATACGGAAACTATTCATGACGCTTACTATGCTGTTCAGAAAGTATGACATGAATTAAATTTAATATTTGCTACTGTTAAAATAAAGGTCATAGGGTTTTGGGGTGGGGAGGGGGGCGGGTCTATCAAGTTAAACCTATCTGATGTTGAATGTAGCACATCTATTTTATGCTGGTTCCTGTTTATCCTATCTTGTGGTGATCCAAAATCCTTGATATGAAAGAAAAACTGAACTCAAGCTGAAATGTGGGAATATTTCTCTTTTCGATATTTTTTTTAATTTTTCAAGCTGAAGTTTTTTTTTTTTTTTGGAAAGTTAAACAAAGTCAAAGAAAATTTGTTGTAGCTGTCGGTGAAGTTGCGTTCGCCGTTGAAAGAGAATGAAAAATTGATGCGGATTATCAGGTTTGATCGTGAAAATGCTGATGTGAGTTTTTCAGAATAATTTTATCAGTGTGCATTATTCATATTCACGAATATTATTTAAACAAAAAGCAAAATTTTACTTGAATTTCAGTTAGATAAATGGCCTACATTGTTCAGTATTCCAACTACTGTTGATATGCAAATACGTACATTATTGATGCGTTGTCAGGAACAGATGAAAAAGGTGTATGCTACAAAATACGACCTCAACCAGTAAGTGGTAGATCAGATAAACCAGTAAAAACTGATCATTTCATTCCATTAATCTTCCTATCATTTGTCTTATATGGCTTATAAAAATATATGACAGATTTGCTATTATTATTATTATTCCATTTTGTTTATTGAATCGTGTCTTGCATTAATTTTAACTGTACCACAAATAAATTTTTTGAAAATAAATCATAATATCATAACATCAATTTTAGTACTTATCATATAGTTGTTTAATCTTATAATGCTGTAATGATAGACAAACAGACAACAATTCATAGTTTATTAATGAAGTCATCTTTCTTATATCATATAATGCTATTGTTATTTCAAAGATTACGATTACGAGAAGTGATTGTTGGTGGCGGAGCACCAGTATTGTTTCTGGGTGACCAGCTCGGCAGACGTGGTCATGATTGGAACAAAAATTTGTATTTGCAATTTCTCTCAGGTTAAATACATTTCATGTAATAAACATTAAACTTTTTTTTTTTTTGACTTAATTGAACTTGCATAAACTTTTAAGACATTTCAGTATATGTGATACAGTGCAGTGCAGCATTTTTTTTTTTTTTTGTAGATGAAGAAGTTGCACGAGCAAAAATGCATACATCAGCATCTTATCCAGTGATGGTGAGACGTTGGAAATCATCAGTACCAGAAGTAACATCTTTGGTTGAATTAATGATACCAGTAGATAAGCAGAATCAGGTAGCAGCACTTAAAGAACAGATCTCCTTTCACTATCGTGTACCATTTGATCAGATTCAACTGTCAGAGGTAAAAAATATTTCATAAATTGTCATTCTCTGCTTATATCAGCTATCATCTGACTAGCACCTAGTTTGCAATAATAAATGAAAGATGTAAAATCAACTAATCACTATTTTAACAATTGAAAGTGTTAAGTTATTGCATTTTATGCAATTTAAAAACTAAAAAGAAAATCATCTAAATTTCATTTTTCATAATTTAGAAAAGTTATTTTTGTAGGCATTTCCAACAACTGCTTGGAGTAAGTGGCCATATACGAAGGATAGAGTTGATTTATATGAAAACGTTAGTTTTACAAATGGTGAAGCACCATCTAACGGAACATTTAATGGGAAACTCGTCTATTTCAAGTGAGATTTTGTATTTTTTTCTTCAAGTCCTTAAGTATAAAATCTTACTATCCTTAAATTTATAGCTCTAGAATTTTCCAGTATAGTTGTAATTGGTATCTCATTAATAGGCATTTTGCCTAGTATCAGATTCAGTTTAAATATTTTCATTGTGGTTTTGTCGCATGGAAAAGATGGCTACAATTCAATCAACAAAGACAGAGAGAAAGAGAGAGAGAGAGAACAAACTGAAATCAAGTTGTTTGATTGTTACTTTTTGACATCTTTGAAGATATAATACTTTTTTTTTTCTTAATTTTCTTTGAAATTTTAGATTAGCTTATGAGCAAGTGCGGCAGTTAACAGAGAAGGAGAAACGTTCATTAAGATTCAAAGATAACGTTATAAAACCCGGCGATGGTACGATTTCGCGAAGGAAGGAAAGACCACTGAGGATACAGTTATCGACTAGTATCACCGAAGATGATTAAATCAGTGTTTTATTCATTTATTTGCTACTCCTTTTCTTTCACTTATAATACATATTATTAAATTGTGTATTAAAATAATTTAGAAATAATAAGAAAAATGGTTGGTCACATTGTTGTAACGTGTAGAGCATTATGATTTATAACCTCTAATTGGAATTGCTTTAAAATTATTATGAAACACAACTTCTGTTAATCGGTTGTGATTCTTTTTAGGCACTAAGTCTTATTTATTCTGTAGATTGAAGAGTTTAGAATTGATGAGATGATTCTTTTTTTTTTTTTTTTTTTTAAAGGGAAATTGTATAACTCTGTATGCAATTCATTCAGTGCCTATTTATTTTACATTTTTTATGCATTTTACCTTCTACCATGCATTTCCTATCGCCTTTGCACTGTTTTAAGTGCAATGATTTTCGCTCTACCAAATATTTTAAAAAAGGTATTTTTATATACCTTTTTTTTTTTTTTTTTTTGACTGCACTTCCTTAGAAATTCTTGCTGTTTTGAATTACTCATGGGTCACATCGCTTTGGTTACAAAGGAATCACTAGCTTTTCACCATTAATTATTATATTATGGTTAAAAAGTTGGTTTCTTGGGTGCTACATTCTTATAAATGCTGTATGCTATATTCACATCATTATTTTTGTTATGTTTTACAATCATTATTAGTTGAAATGTTAAGCAAACATGAAAGAAAGAACAAATAACGATATCTTTTTTTTTTTTTTGCAAATTTTCATAGAGCTAACATTTGAGGTTTAAGATTCATATTTTTGTGTGTCAAACATGGTAGTGTCATTAGTTACCAATTAGTATGAGTTTCTGCCATGTTATTTCTCCTAATGATCTATTAATTATTTTTACCAAAATTATGAATTTATTTACACTTTCCACATAGTTGAACAAGAACTAGTTGATGCAACAATTGTTGAAAGCGACATTTTAATGCTAAATAAATAAAATCACAGTTGGAGGTAAGAAATATTTCCATTTTACCCTTTCTCGCTCATATTTTACTATTTTAGTAAAATTTACTTCTAGGCATACAGTTTTCAAAATTCATTGTAGCACAGAGCAATCTACTATGTATGTACACCTGCACTATCAATAATACCATGAAATAACAATAGCTTACCTGTTTGGTTTCTTCCTTATGTATATGCTTATGTATGATATGTTGTTATGGGAGTTAATAGTTACGCGTTCAATAAATCATTTGTTATTTGTTAATTGTTTGTTGAAAACAGCTCAACATTTATAGATCATTTTTGTATGGTTAGCTAATATAACGTAGAGTTAGATGTATATGTACATCTATTTTGTTTATATGATAGGTAAATTCTCTAATTTGCAGACTAATTTGTAGATCATAATAGATATTACCAGATAGATTGATCAATTAACATCTTTTATCTTATTTTACTAGAGCAATATAGATATGAGTGATAATAACAAAATGATACGTAATAGGGTTTCCCTTGTTGTATTAGTATTACATTTAATTTTGTTGATTTGATTTGATTTGATTGATTGATTGATTGATTGATTTCTCTTTGATATTGTCAATCACTGGGGAAGTGATCAAATTTTAATGGTGATTAACCTGACTATATTGTTGATGCTAAAAGAAATATGAATATAGTTGAGGTTTACTTTCATCCATAGAAGCTACCAATTCCGCAGCAACCCATACCATAACCGCCCATTCCCATACCAGATAAACCGTAGCCACCGATGCCACCGTAACCTCCATAACCACCGTAACCTCCATAACCACCGTAGCCTCCATAACCACCGTAATTCCCATAACCGTAGCCATAACCATAACCGTAACCATAACCTAAATTTAATTTTGGCAATGTAACAAGAAGAGAACATTTAAATCATAACAATTCATTTATATTAAAAAAAAAAAAAGTAATTTCCATAAATAGATAAATATAAACAGATTTATTTGTACCATTCTTTTATAAATAATAAATTAACATTGTTAAATTTAAATATTATTGTAGTATATATTTTTATTTTAATTACTTTAGTCAAATTATTTAAAAAATTTAATGTTTGATCATTTAATACAACTAATTAATAAATAATTTAAATCATACCACCACATCCATGCATCATACTAAATCCACAACCACCAAAAAATTGTCCTTCGATAACAGATAACAAAAATAGAAATGAAAATATTAATTGTATCGTTTGCATTACAATTATTCACTTTAGTTGAGTTAGTTAGCAACAAATTAGATATATTAAAATAAAATTTTCGTATCGTTTAGTGTAAAAATTTTATTTATATTTATATACATTTTATTGTGGACAACTTCTTACCACTTTCTTGTTATCATTGTTTGACCTTTTGTTGAAGTAAAGTATACATTAAGTTCTATGCAAATAAAAATCACAATGAGAAGAGTTATTTACCTGAAATATATTACTATTATTATTACTACTCTTCTAAGTAACACATATTTGAAGTGCTACTTGTCATTATTAGTGTCACTACTACTACTATCATTTATTCTCTTATTATTATTATTATTATTATTATTATTGTTTATCATTATTGTTATTAATATTATTATTACTCTTATTTATTATTGTTCTCAGTTGTTATTATTGTTTATCGTTATTATTGATATTATTCTTGTTATTATTATTATTATTATTGTTTATCATAATATGATGTTTATATTATTATTATTATTATTATTCTATGATGTTTATAAACTTCTTCACTGAAATAGTATCATACTTCATAGTGGTCTTTTTTTTTTACTTTATTTCAACAATAAATTTTGAATGAAATGATTAAAGTCACGACTGAGAATTATTTTCATTATTCTTATTATGTATTTTGTATATTCATTATTAAATGTTCAAAATTCATCGTTTTTTTTTTTTTATTATTATTACGATTATGTTAAAATGAATTAACAAATAATAATTTTGTTTTTTTTTATTTTCATTTTCGATTAAATATATTTTGCATTCATTATTATTCAATTTTTTTTTTACAGATATGAATACAAATATTTTAACTATGTAATTTATGATTTATTCCGGAAAAGTTTATTCCGGATTTCTATTATCACTGATTGATTATTCGTATACTAGCATCACTAGCAAAATCAATTAACAAATACTGAATGCTAATTGATTTTTCTGATAATTTTGGAAATTTTTAATTGTTTGCATTTTAATTACTAATTAATAGTAAAGTTCTATAATTTTAATTAATAATTAAATAGTAAATTCCTGTAATTTAAATTAATAACTAATAGTTAAATTTTATAATATTTATAGAATAATACAAAAATTGTTGCATATTTGTTAATACTTTTTTATCATTTTATCATTTCCATTATTCGATATTATCATATTTCTCTTACATTAATATCATTTAGTTTCACTCTATTCTCATTACAAAATCATTTTTATTCAACAAATCTCTTTTCTATTATTATCAGTTATCTTTAGATTAAGAAATTTGATAAAATTATTAGCTAATTTGACTGATCGATCGATTGATCAATTAATCGATTGATTAATTAATCGATTGATCGGCATGTCATTACGTATTATTTGATTCATTCAATAAATGCTCATATGAATTATATATGAGAATAGAATGTTGCAGTAAATATGAAATGAAAATGTATCTTTTGAATATATTTTAAAATTATCTCTCTTCCAATGAAATTCTGTATGTCACATACAAATTCTGTATGTCACATACAAATTCTGTATGTCACATCATTTTTAGCATTTTTTTTTTTAAATATAATTTAAAATTAAAACGACGACAAAGTAAACAAATAATATTTTTTCAAATCTTTATTATCAATAAAAATATATTACTACCAAATATTAATATCATTCATATATGTACATGCACATACATACATACATACATACACATACATACATGCACATACACACATACATACACATACACATACATACATACACGCATTGTTGTCAGTAGTAGTTTGTGCGATTGCAAATTGAAATGAGAAAGAACCGGCTCTTCTCTCTTTTCAGTATTTCCCACTTTTTTCATCCTTTCCACCTGTCTTCTGTCCTCAAATCATGCTTTATACATATTTACAGGTGTGTGTATGTGTGTGTGTGTGTGTGTATGTATGTGTCTGTGTATGTGTATTTATGTGTGTATGTGTATGTATGTGTGTATGTGTATGTATGTGTGTATGTGTATGTGTGTTTGTGAAATTAACACCTTTTTTTTGATAACTTTAACTCAAATTACTCTTCATTTCTATTTCTTATCAATATGTCACTTAATTATTTTGGCAGTATTTTTATAAATGAAATACCATCAAGAATGTACAAAGAGAGAGAGAGAGAGAGGGAGAGAGAGAGAGAGAGAGAGAGGGAGAGAGAGAGAGGTTGATGTTGTTATTAACACTTAATAGTATAGGCAAAACCTATCACATTAATGTTTTGTACTTTGTACCATTTTCAATAATAATAATAATAATAATAACATAATCAATATCTGTTATCATTTACTATTATCATTTATCATTTATCAGCATTGTTTATCATTATAATCATTAATTTATCACTATAATTGTTAATACTAAAAATGTTCATACAGGAAAGGAAGTAATTTCTGGAAAAAGAGCGCATTCTCATCGTTTTCACATCCATTTCATCGAGAAAAAAAAAAAAAACGAAAAATTCCAACGTCCCATTTGCACCAATGGCCATTGAAACAAACAAGTATTGTTGGGTGGGTGGGTAGGTGGATGGGTAGGTGGGTGGGTAAGTGGATTGCTTGCACTCATCATATCCATCTGTATGCATGTATGTGTATGTGTATGTATGTATGTATGTGTATGTGTATGTATGTATGTATGTGTATGTGTGTGTATGTGTATGTGTGTGTATGTGTATGTATGTGTATGTGTAATCCTGTTTGGAGCAAAAATTCTCATTTCATTAGGTTAGGTTGATATTAAAATCAATGGTGCAACAACGACAGCGAAATTCTTTCTAACCGTATCTAACCTCTCTCTCTCTCTCTCTCTCTCTCTCTCTCTCTCTCATCGTTTCCGCCCACGCCTCTAGCAACCACCCACGCTTTTCTTTCTATTAGTTAACTAACAAACTAACTGTTTTGTTACCTTCATTTGGTATGCTTATTATCAATAATTATTATTCAATTTGAATATTTATTTATGCATAGCTGAATTATTGATTTTTTTGTTTATCTCTCTACCATTTTATCAATATTAACTGATAATATTTGAAAAAAAAAAAAACACCCAAAGATGAAAATTAATTTTGGTACTTTTTAAATTGCTAAAAATACTACTATAAGATTATATAGTAAGAATAGAATGATGAATCATTTGTGATGAAAATATTATATTAAGCATTTCTTAGCTTGAAATTTTTTTTTTTTTAATTTTAATAAATTTTTTATTTTTCTCTTTTTTGTTTGTTTGATTATATTTTAGTATGGAAATGATATTAGAGTTTTGATAGTTTTTTTTTTTTTAATGGCGGAAGCTATTGCGGAGGAAAGTAAAGTATGCGGTAGCGGAAACAATTCGTTTTATAAAGTTATCCATTTTTATTCAAAAATTTTGCGAAAAAATAGAGATGGCAATTTCCACTAGACACTATTGTAATTTATGAATTCATCTTTTTGGTGTAATATATTAGTTTATTTGCTTCCTTTTCCTCTCAATTTCTTTTAGTTTTATGTCTGTTTAGCATCGATGTAATAGGCTTTTCCTTCTGCTTTTTTTTTTTTAAACATGGATGAATGTTTCGTTTTAGTTTGAAATTGCTTTTCACAAAATACATCAATTTGCTGCTTTCTCTTCTTTCACATCAAATTTTCTTATTACTCTCTCAAAAGGTCATTCCATCCATCCATCCATCCATTCATTCAAACATTTGTAAGAAAGAATGCATACGTCACCATGAAATTTCTGTCTTTTTTTCTTTTTTTTTCAAAAAAAAAGAAAAATTAATAAAAATTATAAAATGAAATAAAGTGATCGAGAAAAGGAAGTGAGAAAATTTTAGATGTAAAAATGAAAACTTTTTTATATATGAAACTGTTATATAGTAGCATGTTTATATTACCGGAAATTGAAAGTTGTTTGGGAAGTTATGTTAAAATTAAGTGAAAAGGTGGTTTAAATAGAAATGAAGAAATTAAAAAAAAAAAAAAAGAGAGAAAAAAGGAAAGAGGTAAAAGAGGGAGGGAGAGGGTTATAGGATAGCCATTGATGGAGTGAAATAGAAGAGAAAATTTTATATACGGAAAATTGAAGAATGGAAAAAAGGTTCGGTATGGAGCGGAAATGATCGTTCCTTCTTTCATCATTGCATTATTTTTTTTTTTTTTTGAAAAGATGACACTACTGCATCATCCATAGAAACTACGATACAATGATGACTCATCGGAAATGATCCAATGATGAAGAAATGAGTTAATTATTCTGTTATAATTAAAACTTATCCAATTAATTTTAGGAATGATTAAACTTTATTCAGATCATTTTAGGAATGATTAAACTTTATTCAGATCATTTTAGGAATGATTATAAACTTTATTCAGATCATTTTAGGAATGATTAAACTTTATTCAGATCATTTTAGGAATGATTAAACTTTATTCAGATCATTTTAGGAATGATTAAACTTTATTCAGATCATTTTAGGAATGATTAAACTTTATTCAGATCATTTTAGGAATGATTATAAACTTTATTCAGATCATTTTAGGAATGATTATAAACTTTATTCAGATCATTTTAGGAATGACCTGTAAAAATTTGTGAAAAAAAGAAAATTGAAAAAAGATAGCATTTTTAATTTATTGAATTAAAAAAAAATTATTGAATTAAAAATTTGTGGATGGAAAAGTGAAGAAGGAATGAAATTATTAAGTAGAAATATGATACGACTAGATTAAATGCTAATTTTTGTGACTATAAAGTGGGAATAGTTAGTTACAAAGGGAGAAGGATTTTAATAGCCTTCAGAAAGCATTTTAGAGAGAGAGAGAGAGAGAGGAGAGGGAGATAGGAAGAGAGAGAGAGAGAGTATTTTATAATAATAATAGCTAATCATTTCATTTGGGCCTAATTAACTGCAACATCCATTTGTTCCCCCCTTTTCATGAAAAAGAAGCCTAATAGAATATCTCTTTTACTCTTATTATAACTTTCTTTCATTTCTCTGATTTTCATGAAATATTCTCCATTACTATTATTGTTTTACTTCTTCTCTTCTTCATAGACTTTTCTCCCTCTCTCTCTCTCTCTCTCTCTCTCTCTCTCTCTCTCTCTCTCCTTTAGCCTGA